AGGGTTTAGGGTTTAGGGTCTAGAGGGTCACTGTTCTAGCATTCATAGTCATTAGGGGGTTCTCCAGGCTTAGGAAAAAAACCACCCGCCCAAAGAATCCCACAACATTAAGAAAATATAAAATTTTCATCCAGGGACTTGCCATAATTGACGAAGGGCTTGCCTTATTCGACGAAGGACTTGGCTTATTCGACGAAGGACTTGGCTTATTCGACGAAGGACTTGGCTTATTCGACGAAGGACTTGGCTTATTCGACGAAGGACTTGGCTTATTCGACGAAGGACTTGGCTTATGCAACGAAGGACTTGGCTTATTCGACGAAGGACTTGGCTTATTCGACGAAGGACTTGGCTTATTCGACGAATGTCGGAGAGTGGCCAGGATCCGGCCCTTCGTCGAATAAGCCAAGTCCTTCGTCGAATAAGCCAAGTCCTTCGTCAATTAAGGCAAATGAGCAAGGATTGCCTTAATCGACGAAGGACTTGGCTTATTCGACGAAGGACTTGGCTTCTTCGACGAAGGACTTGGCTTATTCGACGAAGGACTTGGCTTATTCGACGAAGGACTTGGCTTCTTCGACGAAGGACTTGGCTTATTCGACGAATTCATTAGGGTTTAAATATATATATATATATATATGAAGAGAGGTTTAGGGTTTAGGGTTTAGGGTTTAGGGTTTAGGGTTTAGGGTTTAGGGTTTAGGGTTTAGGGTTTAGGGTTTAGGGTTTAGGGTTTAGGGTTTGGGGTTTAGGGTTTAGGGTTTAGGGTCCCTGAAAATTTTGGTGTCAAGGGTTGGTGGGTTTTGGGGTTACTCCCTTGCTTGAGAAACCAGCCTAAGAAAACCTAGGGTTTAGGGTTTAGGGTTCAGGGTTTAGGGTTTAGGGTTTAGGGTTCAGGGTTCAGGGTTTAGGGTTTAGGGTGATCGAATTTCCCTACCTCCCCACTGAGAACTTGTAAGTCAAAACAGCCAGGCAGTGGAGCCCAAACTCTACAGGGTTCGGGGGCTCTAGGGCTCCAGGGTGTACAGGGTTTGGGGTCTAGGGTTTAGGGCTTAGGGTTTAGGGTTTAGGGTTTGGGGATTAGGGCATAGGGCTCCAGGATTTAGGGGTTGTTTAGAGCCTTAAGGGTCTAAGGTTTCGATCCGCCACAAACCCTCAAGCCCTTGCAAGAAGGGAGAACCCGAGCCCCACCTTTCTGTTGTTTAGGGTTTAGGGTTTAGGGTTTAGGGTTTAGGGTTTAGGGTTTAGGGTTTAGGGTTTAGGGTTTAGGGAGCCATGAGAGCCATGAGAACCCCAACTTTCCTCAACCCACAAAACCCGAAATTTAAGACCCGCTACACTGACTCCCTAAACTCTCCCGCTAAGCCGTAAACCTTAAACCCGCAACTTGGCTGCGCCTTTGGCCCTGGGCTCAAAACCTTACTAGCAACCAGGAAGCCCATTATACCCCAAAAAACGGCTGAGGATCGAAGGTTGCGGTCAAGAGCCACTGAGTTAATCCCAGCCCCTCGCTGAACCCCAAACCCTAATTAAACCCCAAACCCTACACGCCGAGCCCCAAAACCCGAAACTCTCAACCCCAAATCCTGGACCCTAAATCCCAAACTCCAAACCCCAAACCCCAAACCCTAAACCCTAAACCCCAAACCCTAAACCCTAAACCCTAAACCCCAAACCCTGAACCCTAAACCCCCAAACCAACTGCGGTCCCCGAGACTAGGTGGCACAGCGCGCGCAGCTCCCGCAGCTGCGGGCCCCTGGGCGCACCGCCGTAGACGCACACGGAGTAGACACCTCCGACAGGGGGGCAGGGCGGTTTAGGGTTTAGGGTTTAGGGTTTAGGGTTTAGGGTTTAGGGTTTAGGGTTTAGGGTTTAGGGTTTAGGGTTTAGGGTTTAGGGTTTAGGGTTTAGGGTTTAGGGTTTAGGGTTTAGGGTTTGGGAGAAGGGGTTTGGGGTTTGGGGTTTGGGGTTTGGGGTTTGGGGTTTGGGGTTTGGGGTTGTAAGCTTAAACCCTGAACCCGAAGCCCTGAACCCCGAAAAATGAAAGGGCTCAATTTGCATGAGGCGTCCAACACCCCAGATGACCCAAACTCCAAAACCTCAAACCCCAGAATTTCCCCGAAAACCCCAACCCCAAACTCAAAACCACAAAACCACAAAACCCTACGCCCTGAGCCCTAAGCCCTAAGCCCTAAGCCCTAAGCCCTAAGCCCTAAACCCTAAACCCTAAACCCCTAAACACAAACCCGGGAGTCCATCCCGGGGCTGCCACCTAAGCGTCGGCCGAAGCGTTCCGCCTCTGTCCTCAGAGTGGGCGCGTCATGACAAGTTTAGTTTAGGGTTTAGGGCTTGAGGTTCAGCATCTCACGTCCAAGCATCCACTAGTCAAGCAATTACTCGAGCGTCGGAAAAATACCCACTCGCCCGAAGAATCCCACAACATTATTTCACTTTCATTTTTTGGGCCTTGCAGACGAATTTCCTTAAGGTTTAGCCCAATTGGGTCTTGATTTAAGGCCCAATTTCGTCGGCAAGGCGCATTTTGGACCTTGTCGACGAATTTCGCTAAGGTTTGGCCCAAATTGGGCCTTGCTTGCCGACGAATTTAAGGCTCAAATTGGGCCTTGCCGACCAATTTCACTAAGGTTTGGCCCAAATTTGGCCTTGCCGGCGAATTTAAGGCCCAAATTCGGCGGCAAGGCGCATTTTGGGCCTTGCCGACGAACTTCATTCAGGTTTAGCCCAAATTCGGCCTTGCCGATGAATTCAAGGCCCCTTTGAGGCCTTGCCGAATTTAAGGCCCAAATTGGCCTTGCCGACGAATTCGTCGGCAAGGCTCAAATTTGGGCCCTGCCGACTAATTCATTCAGGTTTGGCCCAAATTGGGTGTGTCGACGAATTTAAGGCTCGAACTGGCCTTGCCGACGAATTCGTCGGCAAGGCTCAAATTTGGGCCTTGCCGACGAATCCATTAAGGTTTATAAACCTTCAGAATTCGTCGGCAAGGCTCAAATTTGGGCCTTGCCGAAGAATTCATTAAGGTTGGGGGGTCAAATTTTAGTCTCGCCGACGAATTCATTAAGGTTTAAATATACATATGAAAGAGAGTGTTTAGGGCTAGTGTTTAGGGCTTGGGTTTAGGGTTTGGTAGAGGTGGATTCTTGTCTGTTCTTTACTGTCTGTCGCGCTTTGTTCAGATCAGGTCTCAAGGTCTTGCGCGATGGCGGTTCAGGGCTTAGGGCATTTAGCTTTTAGGGCTTAGGGCTCTAGGCTTTAGGGTTTAGGGGTTGGGGGGTTCAGGGTTCAGGTTTAGGGCTTTCAGGATTTAGGGTTTTTAAGTTTACAGCATGCAAGCTCGTGAGTCTGGGGGCAAACTACCCCAGGAGAAAACCCGCCACGCAATCCCAAGTGCTTTGAGGTTTAGGGTTTGGGGTGTAGGGTTTAGGGTTTAGGGTTTAGGGTTTAGGGCTTAGGGCTTAGGGCTTAGGGTTTAGGGTTTAGGATTTAGGGTTTAGGATTCGGGGTTTAGGGTTTAGGGTTTAGGGTTTAGGGTTTAGGGTTTAGGGTTTAGGGTTTAGGGTTGAGGGTTTAGGGGTTTAGGGGTTTAGGGGTTTAGGGGTTTAGGGGTTCAGGGTTTAGGGTTTAGGGTTTAGGGTTTAGGGTTTAGGGTTTAGGGTTTAGGGTTTAGGGTTTAGGGTTTGGGGTTTGGGGTTTGGGGTTTGGGGTCGAGGGCTTGGGGTTCAGGATTTTAAGATTTCAAGCGCACGCTCCTAAGTCTGGCCTTAACCCTGAACCCTGAACCCTGAACCCTAAACCCTGAACCCTAAACACTAACCCAATTCCCTAAACCCTAACCCTAAACCCTGAACCCTAAACCCTAAACCCCTATACCCTGTCTCCGGGCACTTAGTGACTCGGAAACGGGTAGGACGAGGGGATCAAACACTGAAGCACTCGAAGCCCTGGCTCCCTAAATCCGTCAAAACCCTTCCTCCCTAAGCCCCAAAAACCCTACTCCCCAAACCCTACACCCTAAACCCCTGAACCCCTAAACCCCCAAACCCTAAACCCTACACCCTACACACTACACACTACACCCTACACCCTACACCCTAAACCCTACTGTACACCCTAAACTCTAAACCCCAAACCCCAAACCCTAAACCCTAAACCCTAAACCCCAAACCCTAAACCCAGACCCTAAACCCTACAACCGTAACCTCCCAAGGAGCTGGATCTGCACCGCCAGCTCGCGCGTAGGCGCCATGACGAGCCTCGGATGGAGCGAAGTGGCGAGGCTGAGCCGCCAAGGGGGTTTAGGGTTTAGGGTTTAGGGTTTAGGGTTCAGGGTTCAGGGTTTAGGGCTCAGGGCTTAGGGTTTAGGGTTTAGGGTTTAGGGTTTAGGGTTTAGGGTTTAGGGTTTTGGTTTTAGGGTTCAGGGTTTTGGTTTCAGGGCTTAGGGTTCAGGGCTTAGGGTTCAAGGGTTAAGGGTTTAGGACTTAAGGTTCAGCCTTAAGACCTCGCGAAAGCCGAAACAAATGCAACCCTACAGATATCCTCACTGAACCTCCCAAGCCCTACACCCGAAACCCCTAAACCCTCCAAACCCTAAACCCCCTACACCCTAAACCCCTAAAGCCTAAACCCTAAACCCGAAATTCCAAGCCCTAAACCCTAGCCCTAAACCCTAAACCCTAAACCCTAAACCCTAAACCCTAAACCCTAAACCCTAAACCCTAAACCCTAAACCCTAAACCCTAAACCCTAAACCCTAAACCCTAAACCCTAAACCCTAAACCCTAAACCCCCCAAAAGCCCAGCACAGCAGCATCGAGGGCCCACCAGTCGGCCGGACGCCCAGAAAGTTCGTAAAGGGCGGCAGCAGAAAGGCCTGGGCTCCCGCCATTTAGGGTTTAGGGTTTAGGGTTTAGGGGTTTAGGGGCTTAGGGGCTTAGGGGCTTAGGGGCTTAGGGGCTTAGGGGCTTAGGGGTTTAGGGGTTTAGGGGTTTAGGGGTTTAGGGGTTTAGGGGTTTAGGGGTTTAGGGGTTTAGGGGTTTAGGGGTTTAGGGGTTTAGGGGTTTAGGGGTTTAGGGGTTTAGGGGTTTAGGGGTTTAGGGGTTTAGGGGTTTAGGGGTTTAGGGGTTTAGGGTTTAGGGTTTAGGGCTTTGGAGTTTTAGGGGGTTACGCAATAGTAGTACAGGGTACTACTGGTAAGCAGGAGGCGTTCTTCTTGTAGATTCTAGATCATACCAGAACTGTTTGGGATACGGAGAAAATCAACATCACCCCCCTAATCCTCACCTCACCTTTAGCACACAAGCTTTCTTTGCTAAATCAAGAAGCCTCACCAAAACGAGCACGAAAACAAAACCTGAATCCGCGAGAAGGCCCGGCGACTAATCTCTAAAGCCTGAACCCTAAAACATCTACATCCTAAACCCTAAGCCCTAAACCTATACCCTGAACCCTGAACCCTAAACCCTAAAGCCCCTGAATCCCTAAACCCCTAAGCCCTAAACCCCAGATCCAGACTTCCCTCGTAGAATATCTTGGCTGCGTTCTCTAGCAGCAAAAAAAAGACTATGGTGTCCAGGGCGGTTGAGCACTTTTTGTGCCCAAAGATGATCAAGGACCTAGGAAAATACACCCGACGCCCTGAAACCCTAAACCCATACAGGGGGTTCGCTTAACGTAGAACTGCTCCGAAAGTTAAAGTGCGCCCGGATGTGGCCAGGATGTTCCTGCAGGGTGGAGAGCCTAAACCCCCACACCATTTTTGGGTCCCCAAACCTGAGGGCACTAAACTTCAGGGCCAAAGGCAGAATCCATTGAAAGAAATCGTGATGCCCAAAAGCCCTAAACCCTAAACCCTATACCCTGAGACGGTCCTTCACAAGCCACCCAGTAGTTGTCCCGATACCCTTCGATACATCCCTGAACCCAAACCTTAGGGTCTTGGGTTTAGGGTTTAGGGTTTAGGGTTTAGGGTTTCGGGTTTCGGGTTTAAGGTTTAGGGTTTAGGGTTTAGGGTTTAGGGTTTAGGGTTTAGGGTTTAGGGTTTAGGGTTTAGGGTTTAGGGTTCGGGCCTCACCCCAAGCACCCCTTGTGAAACCCCCGTCTCAGTGCCCCGACCAAGGTCTTCCCGCTACCGGTCTTTGCGATGCCGACCACGTCGCGGCCCGCACCGGCCACAGGCCAGCAGTAGGCCTGCTTATTTTGGGAGAGTGGTTTTAAGGTCATAGGTGTTTAGGCTTTAGGGTCTAGAGTTTATGGTTTAGGGTTTAGGGTTTTAAGGTCTAGGGGTTAGGGCTTGGGGGGTTCTTAGGGCTTTAGGGTTTCGGGATGGGTTAGAGGATGTTGGAGCTGCAGGACTGTTGGTCTTAAAGATTTAGGATTTCGGGCTTGGGGGAGGTTTCGGGCTTGGGGCTTAGGGTTTAGGGTTTAGGGTTTAGGGTTTAGGCGTTAGGGTTTAGGGTTTAGGGTTTAGGGTTTAGGGCTTAGCAGAGGGTCTGGGGGGCTCATAGGGCGCAGGGTCCGGACACATCAAGGGTTCCGGGTTCAGCGCTAAGGTGAAACCATGGCGGCCCATAGCTTGGCCTATTCATTCCCGGGTTTAGGGTTTAGGGTTTAGGGTTTAGGGTTTAGGGTTTAGGGTTCAGGGTTTCGGGTTTAGGATCCTGACCCCCCCTCAAAGCTGAACCTGAACAGCCTTCATGCCCTAAACCCTAAACCCTAAACGCGAAACCCTAAACCCTAAACCCCTAGACCCTAAACCCTAAACTCTAAGGCCTCAACCCTAAACCCTAAACCCTAAACCCCGAAGCCTTAAATACCCTAAAGCCCTAAGGTGAGAGGGGCTCAGGGGTCATAGGGGTGCAGGGGGCAGGCCTGGAGACCCTAGACCAAGCTTTGAGCGGCCAAGCTCGGTCACTAACTAGATACACAAAACCCCAAACCGTAAACCCTAAACCCTAAACCCTAAACCCTAAACCCTAAACCACGCACACCTTCCAAAAAGTAAAAGGCAGAAGCCTTCTTTCTAGAGCCCCGCAACAAGGTACCTTTCATTTGGAAAACACAGCTTTGCCACGACATGTCGGTACCTCCCTTATAATTGTAGGCAGCAGCCCTTTGACCTTAAACCAGACAAACCAAACCTTAAGCCCTCAACCTGAACCCCTGAACTCTGAACCCTAACCTTAAACCCTAAACCCCAAACCCAATCCCAAGCCCTAACCTCCAAAAAGGCGTGTCGCCAGCCACCTTTTGGTATGTTTCTTGTAGACCCCAAGCCCTAACGCCCAAACCCCAACCCTAAACCCTAAGCCCTGAACCCTAAACCCTAAGCCCTAAGCCCTAAACGCTAAATCCTAAACCCTAAGCCCTAAGCCCTAAGCCCTAAACCCTAAACCCTAAACCCTAAGCCCCAAGCCCTAAACCCTAAACCCTACCCAAGCCCTAAACTCTAAACCCTAAGCCCTAATTAAACCCTAAACCCTTCTCTAAGTCAGCGCAGCTTTCGCAAAAATTCGAAAATTCAAAAAGCGGCTGCCCGTCCGTGTTCGCGAACACTCGAAAACTCCAAAATTCCAACATTTCGAAGTTTTGAATTTTCGCGTCCGCGCGCCAACCGAAAATTCGAACACATCGTTTTTTCGAAATTTTCGCGCCCGTGCGCCATCCGGAAACTCAAACATTTCGAAAGTCTCGGAATTTTCGCGCTCTGCCTTTGGCAAGGGTTCAGCAGCTTCCTACAGAACCCTAAACCCTAAACCCTAAACCCTAAACCCTAACCCTTGACCCAAAAGTCCTAAACAGCAAAAGAAACCTGAACAACAGCGCACCGGAGACGACCCTTCCGATCTAAATATTTAGGGTTTAGGGTTTAGGGTTTAGGGTTTAGGGTTTAGGGTCTAGGGTTAGGGTTAAGGGTTAAGGGTTAAGGGTTTAGGGTTTAGGGTTTAGGGTCTAGGGTCTTTCGGCCGGTCCCAAATTTGGGCCCTGATCTTAGCTGGCTGGGCTAGTTTACGGTTTGGGGTGCATGAACACGTCGTTTGTGATCACACAACAAAAAGACTTTTTAAATGCTTGCCAAGTTTAATGCCAAGTTTAACGCGCATGCAGAACGAGCATGAACTGAAAACATCGAAAATGGCAAAACTTTGGCGCACACCCCCCTGGCAACGACAATGATATAAACTTCAATATTTTCACTTCCCGCCGAAAACTCAAAGATCGATGTTTTCGAAATTTTCGCGTACGCGCGCCAAACAGAAAGACAGAAATTCAAAACACTCTTGTTTTCGGGTCCGCGCGCCCAGCAAAAAGTTTAAAATTTCAAAAATATAGTTTTTTCGTGTCCGTGCGCCACCCACAATTCAAAAAAATTCGAAAAATTTCGTTTGTTTCGTTTGCACGCGCCAAACACAATGTCGAAAATTCGACAAAAAGTCGTGTCCACGCGCCAAAGGACAACGCGTAAACTTTGGAGCCGCGTTTGGTTGCCACATCTCTCTCTAAACCCTAAATCCCTAAACCCTAAACCCTAAACCCCAAACCCTAAACCCCAAACCCCAAACCCTAAACCCTAAACCCTGAGCCCTCAAAGCCTGGATGGGCGTGGGCGCTGCGAAGCCAAGGCTGAAGATGCCTTGGCGGCGTGCTGCAGGGGCTTGGGCTCGTTTTCTGGTTTTTAGCCAAAACCGAGCCTTCACCGATAGGGGCTTCTAAACCGTAGGGTTTAGGGCCCTAAGAGCATAAAGGGCCTATTGTGGGCCTTAGATTAGATTTCGGGTTTTGGGTCCGTTAAAAACAAAAAATATTTTTCTAATGTTATGGGATCCAAAGGATGGGTGGGTATATACTCGAGACCAGAGTAGCGAGCTTGACTAGTGAATGCTTGAACTGGAGATGCTGAACCCTAACCCTAAACCCTAGACCCTAGACCCTGAACCCTGGTTCCCAACTTTGCCCATGGCTCACAGGAGCCAACTTTGAGAGAAATCGGAACCGACAGAGTAAAAGGTGTAGGGTTGACTCCAAACCCCTAAACCCTAAACCCTAAACCCTAAACCCTAAACCCTAAACCCTAAACCCTAAACCCTAAACCCTAAACCCTAAACCCTAAACCCTAAACCCTAACCCTCCTAACCCTCCTAACCCCCCTTCAGCCCTTAAACCCCGAAACCCTAAACCCCCAAAGCCTTTAACCAACGACATCCTTAAACCCGCAACCCCAAAACCCTGAAACCCCTAAAACCCTAAACCCTAAACCCTAAACCCTAAACCCTAAACCCTAAACCCTAACATGCCCTAAAGCCCCAAAACAATGAAACCCCCTAAACCCTTACACCCCAAAACCCTTCAACCCCAGAACGCCAGAAGCCTAAACCATAAACTCTGTACATCGTAAACCTCAACCCTAAACCCCAAAAACTTAAACTTTAAAACCAAGACTCTGTAACCCCCTAAACCCCCAAACCCTTAAACCCTGAAACCTAAACCCTGAACCCTAAACCCTAAACCCTAAACCCAAAACCCAAAACCCCAAAACCCTAAAACCCTGAAACCTAAACCTAAGGCTTGGCCAGCGACTTGCCGGAGCGGGGTCTTTCGGGGTTTAGGGTTTAGGGCAGTTTAGGGTTTAGGGTTTAGGGTTTAGGGTTTTGGGTTTTGGGTTTTGGGTTTTGGGGTTTGGGTTTTGGGTTTTGGGTTTTGGGTGTAAAGTTCACGGGAGTTTGGGGCTTTTGGGGTCTTAGGGTCCTAGTATCGCGGGCATTGCGGTCTAGGGTTCAAGGTTGAGGGCTCTTGGGTTGCGGGCTGTCGGTTTCAGTAACCCTAAACCCTGAACCCACCCTAACCCTAAACCCTAAACCCTAAACCCGAAACCCTAAACCCTAAACCTAAACCCTAAATTTAGGGATTGAAGGCTTGAAACCCTCAAAACCCCTGGGGCCCAAGCTAGCCATAATCTGCTTGGGGAAGCCACAGCTGTTGAACCTCGGTAAGGGCTTAGGGTTTGGGGTTTAGGGTTTAGGGTTTAGGGTTTAGGGTTTAGGGTTAAGGGTTTAGGGTTTAGGGTTTCGGGTTTCGGGTTTAGGGTTTAGGTTTTAGGGTTTGGGGTTTGGGGTTAAGGGTTTAGGGTTTAAGGTTTAGGGTTTAGGGTTTAGTGTTTAGGGTTTAGGGTTTAGGGTTTAGGGTTTAGGGTTTAGGGTTTAGGGTTTGGGGTTAAGGGTTTAGGGTTTAAGGTTTAGGGTTTAGGGTTTAGTGTTTAGGGTTTAGGGTTTAGGGTTTAGGTTTTAGGGTTTGAAGGGTTTAGGGTTTAGGGTTTAGGGTTTAGGGTTTAGGGTTTAGGGTTTAGGGTTTAGGGTTTAGGGTTTGGGGTTAAGGGTTTAGGGTTTAGGGTTTAGGGTTTAGGGTTTAGGGTTTAGGGTTTAGGGTTTTGGGTGGGTTCAGGGTTTAGGGTTTAGGGTTTAGGGTTACACTAAAACCTCAATCTGACAAGTTTCACGTCAGGGCTCCCCTGGCTGTCTTGCTTGAAGGAAGGGCTCTCTGAATTAGGCCCCCTTTTTCTTTTTTCCCTTTGGGGGGGGGGGGGGGGGGTCCTTTTCACAAGGTGCCGTACCCACAGCGGGGCCTACCCATATTAAAGATAGCGATTCGGGAGTTTAGGATTTGGGGTTTAGGAGGTTTGAGGGTTTAGAGGGGTTTGGGGTTTAGGGATTTCGACCCTCCACAAAGTTGTTTCTCTGTGCCTCTGACGCTGCCTTAGAGCATACAAAAAACACTTGCTTAGGGTTTTGAGGGGCTTCAGGGCTTTTAGTGGTTTTAGGGGCTTTTGGGGCTTTTGAGGTTCTTTGGCTTGCAGGCTGTAGGATTTTTAAGGTTGTTTTTGAGCTCTTGGGGTACTGCAGCGTATGAAGACTTGGCGGTCAGAACAAACGGCACACGGACCTTGGTGACTCCCACTTGGAGGTTCATGGTACTTATTGACAAATTATAACTGTACTTACAACCCACTTATAAGCCTCTTAAGTGCCCGAATATGGTTGAAAGTACAGCTATCCTAAACCCTAAAGCCTAAGCCCTAAACCCTAAATCCTAAAGCCTAAATCCTAAACCCTAAGCCCTTTTAAGTACAGTCATGATTGGTTGAAAAGAACCAAGAACCTCCAAGCATTCCCGCCCAAAGGGTTTCTCAACTTCAGCTTGGACCTCTTTTGACTTGGGGGGTGGCTGGGTAGGCGCCCCAAAACCTAAACCCTACACCAGAAGGGGGGGGGGGGGGTGGGGGGCACTCTTGAGTTTTTAGGTGTTTGGCCCCGTTATTAGGGGACGATTTGAATTCTTCTAGGGTTTCGGGATGAGGGTTAGGGTGTGGGGTTTATCAGCTTGAGGCGTTTGCTTTTGGGTTTGGGGCTTTCGGCTTAATTGGGGTTAGGCTTGCAGCTATAGCGTATGGGGTTCAGGCATGCATAGTGTGGAGCGCGATAAACGGCCAATACCCTAAATCCAAAACGCTGGCACCAGATAACGTTGTGTGGTTTAGGGTTTAGGGTTTAGGGTTGAGGGTTTAGGGTTGAGGGTTGAGGGTTTAGGGTTTAGGGTTTAGGGTTTAGGGTTTAGGGTTTAGGGTTTAGGGTTTAGGGTTTAGGGTTTAGGGTTTAGGGATTAATGAACAACATCCCTTTGCTCGAGGCTGTTTTGTTCTCTCGCGCAGCCGGTTGCAAAGCCAGCATCTTGGCGTGTGACTAGAAACCATACTTGGAGGTTCGTGGCACTTACTAACCAATCGTAGCTGTACTTAAAAGGGCTTGGGGTTTAGGGTTTAGGGTTTAGGGTGTAGGGTGTAGGGTTTTGGGTTTAGGGTTTGGGGTTTGGGGTTTAGGATAGCTACTTAGAACAATATTTGGGCACTGAAGGGGCTAATAAGTGGGTTGTAAGTACAGATTTAATTTGTTAATAAGTACCATGAACCTCCAAGTAGAACCTCTAAGCCCTCAACCCAAGGCCCTAAACTCTAGACCCTTAAACCCTTAACTCGAAACCACCAAACACTACCCTGAGCCCTACACCCTAAACCCCTAAGCCCTTTAACCCAACACCGGTAACAAGTCACATGACACCACTGCACCCTGTACTGCGGCAGAAGTTCCTAAGCCTTTCATGGGATCTATTCCTTGGAGGATCAGTAACTATAGGGTTTTAAGTACCTTAATTGGGGTTACAAGCAATTGTAAGTATACTTGCCTTACTTACAACCCCAGCTACAAAGTCCGTTGATCCTTCAAGTAGTCCCGGGGTCTTCCTTCAGGGTGTAAGTAGGTGCTAGGGTTTGAGGGCTTTACGGGTTTAAGATTTATGGCTCAGGGTTCAGAGCCCTAAACCCAAAACGTTCCAGGTTTTGGCAAGTCAGGTAGACCACTCTGCATCATCATCTCAGCTGCATGCTGGGGAGGTCCTGAACAGGGAACCAGCATTCGCAGCCCAAAGCCCTAAAGCCCTGAAAACCCTGCACCCCAAAACCAGTTCATGGTTGGGATAGTAAACAAAACCAAAATTCCTATTCCTTTTTGAGTCTAAGGGCCCTTAAACATGCAAAATGTTGCCCCACAATGACAAAGAAAACCCTAACAGCTAGTAAAAACACCCTAAGCCCTGAACGCGAAACCAAAAAATCCTACTACACAGTCAGCTCTGCGGCTTTGGGGGGGGGTTTAGGGATTTAGGGTTTCGGGTTTGGGGTTTAGGGTTTAGGGTTTAGGGTTTAGGGTTTAGGGTTTAGGGTTTAGGGTTTAGGGTTTAGGGTTTAGGGTTTAGGGTTTAGGGTTTAGGGTTTAGGGTTTAGGGCGAAGCCCTAAATCCCTAAACCCTGAACCCTATACCGCAGATTTCGGGTTTAGGAAGCTTGCCTTGGGAGCGGGTTGAGGGATAGCTTGGGGTTTAGGGTTTAGGGTTTAGGGTTTAGGGTTTAGGGTTTAGGGTCTAGGGTTTAGGGTTACGGGTTTGGGGTTTAGGGTTTGGGGTTTGTTTAGGGAGTTAGGTTTAGGGTTGAGGGACCTGGGTTTATCTTTTTGTGTGTAGGGTCTCGGGTTGAATGCGATCGGGGGATGAAGAAGGAAGTTCGCTCAAACCCTTCAGCCCTACAGCCCCGATAGCCGACGCCGCGAAACCCGCAAAACCCTTAAACTCGAAACTCTAAAGCTCGTAATCGCGAAAACCCTAAACTAAACCCATGGACCCCTAAAAACCCACGAACCCTTAACACTCTACACTCGCGAAACCTGACTCCTTTTTAAGTTCCTGCACCCCACACCCAAACCCTAAACCCTAAACCCCGAAAACCCTGAACTCCTCCCGAAAACCCTGAACTCCTAAGCTCACGAACCCAAAAAACCCCAAACCCTAAGCTCTGAAACCCCGAAACCCTGCCTTGAAACCCTGAACCCCGAAGCCCCAAAGCCTACGTAAGCCCTAAACCCTGAACCCTAAACCCTAAACGCTTGGCCCTGAACCCTGAAACCCTGAAACCCTGAAACCCTACACCCTAAGCCCTACACCCTAAACTCGAAACCCCCAAGCCCGAAACCCCTAAACCCTAAGCCCTAAGCCCTGAACCCTAAACCCTAAACCCTGAAACCCTGAAACCCTGAAACCCTGAAACCCTGAAACCCTGAAACCATGAAACCCTGAAACCCTGAAACCCTGAAACCCTAAGCCCTACACCCTAAACCCGAAACCCCCAAGCCCGAAACCCCTAAACCCTAAGCCCTAAGCCCTAAACCCTGAACCCTAAACCCTAAACCCTAAACCCTAAACCCTGAAACCCTGAAACCCTGAAACCCTAACACCTGCGGCGCCAACGATTTTCCCACGATGCGCCGATGTTCGTGCTTAGACGCCACTCGACGACATTCCATCCCACAGGGCTCATTGACTTGGCTTAGAGCTTCTAGGGTTTAGGGTTTAGGGTTTAGGGTTTAGGGTTCAGGGTTTAGGGTTTAGGGTTTAGGGTTTCGGGTTTCGGGTTTCGGGTTTAGGGTTTAGGGTTTAGGGTTTAGGGTTCAGGGTTCAGGGTTTAGGGTTCAAGGTGTAGAGTTTAGGGTTTAGGGTTTAGGGTTGCTAGGGCGCTAGGGTGCGCTAGGGTGTTGCTCGGGTTGAATTAGGCACCCGACATATCCTTTCAGATTGCCTCAGAAGATGTTGCACCACTCAGGTTAAGCTACTCCACAATTGTGACATTGCGATAAAAGTTTAGGGCTTTTTGTCGACACACGCTTCATATGTCTTAGCCTTCACACATTGAGTTCTAAGCATTCAGAAGGTTAGCTATCCTAAACCCTAAAGGCCCTAAAGGCCCCAACGGCCCTAAAGGCCCTAAAGGCCCTAAAGGCCTTAAAGGCCCTACACCCTAAACTCTAAACCCTGAACCCTGAACCCTAAATCCTAAACCCTAAACCCTAAACCCTAAACCCTAAACCCTAAACCCTAAACCCTAAACCCTAAACCCTAAACCCTAAACCCTAAACCCTAAACCCTAAACCCTAAACCCTAAACCCCAAACCCCAGCCCTAAACCCTAAACCAAGGGCATCCGAAACTCTCAACGCTGTCTTATGCTCTCAACGAAGCCTTCATGAGTCCTGGGTGCCTCCCGGGCACCTCCTCCAGCTGGAAAAGCTCTCGCTCGGCGCCGTTCGGGGTTCGGGGTTCAGAGGTTTAGGGTTTAGGGTTTAGGGTTTAGGGTTTTGGGTTTTGGGTTTTGGGTTTAGGGTTTAGGGGTTTAGGGTTTAGGGTTTCGGGTTTAGGGTTTAGGGTTTAGGGTTTCGGGGTTAAGGTTTGGGGTTTAGGGTTTAGGGCTTAGGGTTTAGTATGTCGTAGGAGTCGCAAGCACCAGAAAAGACGTGACAGCATTGTGAGATTGGCGAGCTCTGTGACTTCAATGTTCACGGTGTGTCTAAATCACCGTATGGCAAAGGCCCCATTTATCCATAGTCTTTA